AATTATAAAATATAATATAGAGCTAAAAATAAATATATACTAATATAGGAAAAAAATAAATTCTATTACAATATAAGCAGAATTGAGAGCTTTAAATAAATTTCTAATAAATGGATTCTCAACTACTTCAAATGAGATATTGGCCATTATTCAGGCCTTTAAAAGGAGTTTAACATACTGGTTATTAGTTTGTACAGATAAAGGTAAATTTAATTATGAATTTCTTGAATATTTATTATTTTGCTCTACAAGTCTCTCATGCCAATATTTTCAAATATCTTCAGATACACTTGAACAATAAATTGTGAGATAGGCCTTTAAGTCACATAGTTTACCTCTTGGCCAACATTTATTACAATGTGAACATATCACCTTATAGTGTTCTAGATTTACTTGTGCATCTTTAATAATGTAATGCCATACTTTATCAAAATTCAGACCACCTTTTCTAGCTTTTTTTTGTTGTAATTTAAGTTCTGTTGATACTGAAGTATTATTATTATAAATATTTGAATTGGATTCTAAGAAATCTTCATTTTCATACAAAGATGTTTGACTCTGTAAAGACTGTTTAAACATTGTTTTTGCAACTATTAATTTTTGATTTACAATTTTAATCTTGAAAAATTAAATTCATACAATAGTACATATTTTTTCTAACAGCAAAGTAATCCAATATAGATTTATATCATTAAATTACGTCAAATTATACACATCTTTAGAATATAGCTAATGGCATATTTACAAATATTTAATTTCTAATTATATAATGTAAAATAACAGATCAGGATAAAATTACTACTCAAAAAAATTTTAAAAATCATGTAATATTGTCAATTCATCAATAATATAGTATTTAGCAAAATATTGAGTAATTTAGTAAATGAATTTTTAAAAAACTAATCAAGAAAATGCAATTGCACCAGGAAATCTTGTTTTTATTTTTAATATTCTTCTATAAGACTATAACTCTGATAATTTGAGCAAAAAGTTTTAATAATTCTGAATCCAGGATGCAACAAAAACAATTATAAAAAAACATATTAAATCCAAATAGTAACATATAGCTCAATGTATTAATAAAAACTTTGAACAATTGCATAAATTAGAGCTTATAATCATTGTAATAGAATTTATTTTTTTCCTATATTAGTATATATTTATTTTTAGCTCTATATTATATTTTATAATTTTTCTAATATTTTTACATAG